AATAGCATACTAGTAAAATTTTGCTTTATTCGGGAATAGTTAGTAACTAGGAGGGATTTAGTCAGTTTGTGAAGAATTTAGTTAATTTGTTCACTGTTAGAGTTAGATAAATAAATTGTTACTTGTTGATTGTAAAGTTAGTGTCAGGGGTTTATTTAACCACAAGAAGTTGCTGAAAGGCAGGTTACACTACTTTTCACCCTCCTTTTACAGATTATAGGGCTTTATAACACTCCTTTGACAGTATCTTCCAAACTGATAAAGGACAAGCAGATCTATGGGAACACCACCCCCTGCAAGTTTCCCTCCGAGCCACTTACCATCCTAATTTGGAAATATATCGCCATTCCTTCAGTGTCACTAGGTCAAAATCCTGAAACTCCCTTCATAATGGCATTGTGGATGTCCATACACTCTGAGGACTGCAGCTGTTCAAGATGGCAGCTCACCAGCACCTTATCGTGAGCAGTTGATGATGGACAATAAATACTGGCCCAGCCAGCAACACCCATATCCCATGAGTGAACAGAAAAAAGATCTTACTCAAATAAAATGGTTAGGAATACATTTGTGCTTTATGTTGGAGATTGGAGAGATTTGGACATTCTCCTCATAGTTAATAGTCACACAGTCACAAAGAGTCTCATTTCAGAAACTGATATGGACCTGATTTTTGCTGAAAGATCACACACCTTCTCTCTGTTGGAAGGTAATGCCTTCTGTAATGTCCTGAACAGCTGCCTTACTCCTTTCAAATATTTCCAAACTTTCTAATGTTGCACGTTTTTGTCCTGGTGATTATGGACCAGAGAGTATAATCTCAGATTAAGGGGTTGCACATTTAAGGCAAAGATTTCTTGACTGATAGTAGTGAATCTGTGGAATTTTTAGTACAAAATGCTGTTGAGACTGAGTCATTAAATATATTCAAGACTGAGATAGACGAATCAGTAAGAGAATCAGGGTTATGGGGAAAGGGCAGGAAGGTGGAATTGTCGATCACCAGATCAGCTATGATGTCATTGAATGCTAGAGCAGGCTAGAGAGGTCGAATGGTCTACTCCTGCTCCTATCATCTATGTTTCAATGTTTTTATTTTTCTATGTTTTTATATGTTCTAACTTGCGTGTAAATCAACATGTCAATGGACTCAACAGGGAAACACAATTGCAACCTAGGAATTGTCTCCAGTGTGTTTTACTGTTCTAAATAAACTAACGCACGGAGTTAATCAATCCATGCAGTGCAATTGATTAAATGAAGAAGATTCATTAGCATTCGAGAGAATACAAAGTGATCTTATTGAAAAGCACATGATCCCAAGGGAGTTTGACTTGGTAGGTTCTGGCAGCTGGACAGTGACAGGAAAACCTCTGTCACCTCCTTTGAGAAGACCAGTGCATTAAGTATCTGCTTTTGTGGCCAGTGCAGGGGTTATCCTGGAACCAGTGACCACAGAGGGCACAATCCCACTTACCTCCCCACAAGTGCCAACCATTCAGAGACTGTCAGCTCTCTTAGACAGTCCATATCACAGTAGAGGAGGTGTTGGAAGTACAAACTTGAATAAATCTCCTGGTCCTCACCAGATATATCCAAGAACCCTGCAAGAGGCTAGAGAAGAAATTGCAGGGGCCCTGGCTGATATATTTGCATCATTGTTAGCTGTGGGAGAGGTCCCGGAAGACTGGAGTGTAGTGAATGTTGTGTCCTTATTCAAGAAAGGCTGCAAAGAAAAACCTGGGAATTATAGACCAGTAAGCCTAACATCTGTGGTAGGTAAGTTACTTGAGAAGGTTCAGAGGGATAAGATAGACATGCATTTAGAAAGACAGGGTTTGATTAGGAGTAGTCAGCATGGCCTTGTGCTTGGGAGATTATGCCTCACAAATTTGTTAGAGTTCTTTGATGATGTGACCAGGAAGCTTGATGAGGGCAGGGCAGTGGATGTAATCTATATGGATTTCAGTAAAGCCTTTGATAAGGTTCCACATGGTAGGCTGCTCTGGAAGAGCGCGTGGAATCCAGGGAGAGCTGGCAAATTGGATACACAATTGGCTTGATGAGAGGAAGCAGAAAGTAATAGTGGAAGGATTCTTGTTGGACTGGAGACCTATGATTAGTGGTGTGCCTCAGGGGTCAGTGCTGGGCCCATTGCTGTTGCTATCTATATCAATGATTCGGATTTGAACGTACAAAGCACGATTAGTAAGTTTGCGGATGACACTAAAATACGTGGTAACGTGGACTGTGAGGAAGGTTATCAGAAATTGCATCAGGATCTTGATGAGTTATGGAAGTGGGCCGAGAAATGGCAAATGGAGTTTAATATAGATAAGTGTGAGGTGTTGCATTTGGAAAGTCAGATCAAGTTAGGGGTTTCATGGTGAATGGTAAGGCCTTAAGGAGTGTAGTGGAACAGAGGGACCTTGGAGTTCAGGTGCATGAATCTCTGAAAGAGGAGTCACAGGTAGACAGGGCAGTCAAGAAGGCTTTTGACACACTGGCCTTCATCAATCAGGGTATTGAATATAGAAGTTGAGAAGTTATGTTGCAGTTGTACATGACGTTGGTGAGTCTGCAGTTGGAGTATTGTGTTCAGTTTTGGTCACCTTGCTATAGGAAAGATGTTATTAAACTGGAAATGTGCAGAAGAAATTTACAAGGATGTTGCCAGGACTCAAGGGACGAGTTATAGGGAGAGGTTGGACAAGCTAGGACATTTTTTTCTTTAGAGCGTAGGAGACTGAGGAGGGATCTTATAGAAGTGTATAAGATCATGAGAGGCAATGAACAGGGTGAATGTGCTCAGTCTTTTTCCCAGGGTTGGGGAATTGAGGACTAGAGGGCATCAGTTTAAGGTAAGAGGGGAAGGAATACATGGGAATCTGAGGGACAACTTTTTTACACAGAGGGTAGTATGCACATGGAATGAACTGCCAGTGGAAGTGGTTGATGTGGGTACATTAACAACATTTGGAATACATGGATAGGAAAGGTTTAGAAGGACATGGGCCAAGTGCAGGGAAATGAGGTTAGCGTAGGTGGACATTTTATTCAGCATGGACCAGTTTGGGCCGAAGGGCCTATCTCCGTGCTGTAGGACTCTATAACTCTATTACTATCAGTGTCATAGCAGAGGTGGGGGAGATGGGAAGGTGTTTGTAGTGTGTACATGTGTTTAATGCTTGACATTTTAGTTTGTTGCCATTAATAATTCGCAAAACCATTTCCATCAGACAGCTAAAAAGTGTGTGTGAAATTGCCAATCGGCACAAAATATTGCTGGGGTCCTGAACATGACTAGACTCGCTTGCAATGCCAAGGCATACAAGGATATGGGCCAAGTGCTGGAAAATGGGATTAAAACAGTTTGGTGCAGAAACAGAAATAGCTGGAGAAACTCAGCAGGTTTGGTAGCATCTGTGGAGAGAAACAGAGTTCAGGACTTTAGGTTACAGTTAGGGTTAGAGTTGCTGAAGAAGGGTCACTGAACCTGAAACGTTAAGTCTGCTTTCTTCTACAGATGCTGCCAGACCTGCTGGTTTCCTCCAGCAATTTTTGTTTTCATTTTTGATTACCAGCATCTGTAGATCTTTGTTTCTTTTCAAAATAGTTAAGTGCTTTTCCATGGAGGGTTGGAGGCTGAGGGGTGACCTTTTAGAGGTTTATAAAATCACCAGGAGCATAGATAGGGTGAATAGGCAAGGTCTTTTTTTATAGGGTAGTGGAGTCCAAAACTAGAGGGCACAGGTTTAAAGTGAGAGGAAAAAGATTTAAAAGGGATCTAAGGTGTGACATTTCTGCACAGTGAGTGGTGCGTGTATGGAATGGGCTGACAGAGGAAATGTTGGAGGCGGGTAAAATTACATTTAAAAGGCATCTGGATGGGTATATGAATAGGAAGGGTTTAAGAGGGGTATGGGCCGAAAGCTTGCAAATGGGACTAGATTAATTTAAGTTACCTGGTCGGCAAGGAAGAGTTGGACCGAAGGTCCTGTTTTCGTGCTGTACCTCTCTATGACTCTGTTTTTGACCAGCCCAGACTCAATGAGCCGAAGATCCTTTTTACTGTGCTGCATAACTCTAATGACGTGAGCTCTGAAGCAATCATCTGACCAAAATAACCCGAACCACGTTCATGTTAATGATGCTCTCGTGATACACAATGCGTTATCGATCAAAAGTTAAACAGGGGCATTAGCTGCTCAATAGATTCCAAGCTGAATGCATTCTTGTAGTTTAAAAATGAAATGTAAATATTCCTACCAATGGCACACTGTTAAAGAATGCGTTTGCAACATAGTTGAGTGAATATTTGTACAGTTGTAAACTGACATGGTAAAGAAAATGATCAGTGACTGTCATTTTGGGGTGTAATTATTGACTTTTATTGCTCAACACTTTCTTTCTGTCATTCATTCTTACATTGCTACGGGCAAGCCTCCAATTGGAGGCAGTGGTTCTAACTGCATGAAGTACTCCCATTGTCGGTTCTTATACAGTGTAGTTCTGATCAGTACATGTCAATGTGACCTCCCAGATAAACCCACGCTCTCTACCTTTAAATGGCAGTGATCCTTTAAGCAATGTAGGAGGCTTAATAGTAAGAGGAAGGTCAACAAATTGGATTGGAAACTCTGCTGAATATTAACTTGTTGCAGCTGAAGGAATTCCTGGCACTGTAAAACTTTCAACACACAGACTGAAACAATCCTGATCTTGGTCGCTCATGGCTCACAGCATTCCTTCTCTCAGAGGGTTGTGCTTCTTTTGTAATCCTTTTCCCTCCGGAGGGTCGGGGATACTCAGTCATTGCGCACAATTCGAAGCTTTAGATCAATAGACTCTTAAGGAAATGAACAGATAATGGGGATTGGGGGAAAGGTTGGATTGATCTTATTAGACAGGATCTTATTTAAGTGGAACAGCGTGAGCTACTGCTTCCATTTCCCACATCCTAATGTACTTAGTGTTCTAACATTTATAGCATTTGCATTGTCAGCTTCCTCGGGGAAAGTCATGCCGTACAGTATCTCGATTGAGTTTCTTTATATAGCAGGTAAATCTTGGATAATGCTGTAATAACAGCCACATGTAGGTGGTGTTCTCAAAGTGAAGGTGGAATAATGAAACATCCCAAACTCGTTTCCTGCAGCAGAAACTGCAGTAGAAAGGGATCAGAAAGTGAGAATACTGACTCATCAAGGCCAATTAATTCACTCATCAAACTTACCACAACAGAGAGCAACCACCTGATGTTTCTGAGGATATATATGCCCAGCACAGCCCTCACATTTGGGTGGCATGGTGGCTCAGTGGTTAGCACTGAGTGGGTTTCCTCCCACAGTCCAAAGATGTGCAGGTGAGGTAAATTGCCCATGATGTCCAGGGTGGGAAATTTAGGGATGGGTCTGGGTGAGATGCTCTTCGGAGGATCAGTGTGGACTTAATGGGCTGAATGGCCTGCTTCCATACTGTAGGGTTTCTATGATTTGGCTTCCAACAGTCAGAAGAGAAAGTCTTTGTCTGACTTTTAGGTTTGACAGCAATTTAAGATCTGGTTTTCCTATCCAGCACCGGGCTGGGGCTGGGGCTGGGTCTTCCGACAGTGCGGCACTCCCTCAGTACTGACCCTCCGAGAGTGCCCGCTCCCTCAGCGCTGACCCTCCGATCCGAATCAGATCCTAAATTTCATGACTTTACAAGTTTTTCTTCTTTAGGGGGTGGGCTTAGGGTGGGCAGAGAGACAGTTTCTCTAAAGTTGGGTACTTCTGTCTGATGAGGAGAAAACGTGGGGCAGGAGTCCCATTTAGTTTGGAGTCTGATTTAAAGGAAGTGGCCTGGGGTTTTGCAGGGTGCCTCAGTGTTTTCCTTTGAGAAGATGGGATGTGGGGAGGCAATTCAGTTTGACTCTCCAAGGGAGGAGGAGGTAGACCTCGAATGACTGGTTCCAGTGTCAGTGATCCAGCATGGACTACCTGTCTGGCCAGATAAGGAAGCAGCTGAGGGTCTACTCTCCACTAGCCTCCTACCATCAGACACTGCGTGGAGAGGATGTTTCCTCTCATAGCAGTGTCTATGACAAAAGGGCACAGTCTTAGAATAAAAGTGTGCCAATTTAAGACTGAGATGAGGAGGAATTCCTTCTCTCAGAGGGTTGAGAGTTTTTGGAACTCTTTGCCACATGGAGCTGTGGGGGCAGAGCCCTTGTTAATATTTAAGGCTGAGATAGATAGATTCTTAATCAGTCGGAGAATCGAGGGTTATGAGGAAAGTGGACATGAGAAATGTCGGATCGGCTGCAATCCTGTTGAATGGGGGAGCAGGCTCGAGGGGCTGAATGACCCACTCCTGTTCATATTTCTTACGGCCTTATGGTCACCATAATCCCATTGTCAGAGTGGAAGCCCAGATCCTGGTTCTATTTTTTTTATTGACTATTTAATGATGTTGGTGAAAAGGCCTCTTCTGTGTTGAAGCCGAATCTCAATTATTTACCCTTTACTGCTGTTAGTTAACCTCCTCTGTCTCTCCCTGTCTCTGTCTCCTTCTGTATCCCTTTCTTTGCAATGCCTCGGATTGATCCTCCAAATTTGAGAGCCCACTTCCCACCTTTAATTGGTCGAAGAGTCAGTCTTCACATCAGTCAAGGGGCGTGTTATTCAAAACCTCACTGAGTGACTGGTCTCCTCTCCCCGAGGCTGGGTCTGTGACTCGGAGGAGGCCTCAACTCCTGTTTTTCACCACAAAGTGAAAACTCGGCTCATGGGGGTGGTAATTTAAGCATCAGTGCATGATTCATTTTTTCAAAAGCTACAACTACATGTTTCACACGGTGGCTGGAGGTGCCTTTGGTATAAAGTGTTGATGCACTTGTTCTCAGAATGTCAGATCAGTATGAGGTAAAAGTCAAGAGTAGCCAATCTCAGAGAACAGCTGCGGTCCCTCTTCTCTCAGGGACAAGTGCACCGCTCCGATTTGTGCTTTGGTATAGCTCCTCCTGATGGTGAGAACGAGGGGGATGAGGACACAGTCGTCCTTGAGATCCTGCAGCAAGGACCTGCATGACTACATTGCTCACCTGGATAGCCGGCACAGACTAGAGGGGCTGAATGGCCTCTGACTGCAGTGTCACAACTCTGTGAGTCTGGGACCTGTGTTTTCACTGCGCTGTCATTCAGCAGTATGTGAAGCTCTGCACAATGTGTTCTTCTGTTATGTGCTCTGACATGGGGGCATTTCCCAAAACTTTGACTGCTCGCAGACCCAGGGCAACAGCAAAACAGCTGCTTGCTGCATGGGAGTCTAGCTTCACACACTCAGTGTTGTCACTGTTATTTCAGGCCTGAGAGGATCAGGTGATGGTGGGAACTTTCTTCCTAGCTGTACATAAGTGAACCCAGTTCAGGAAACAGACTATTATCCACAGTAAGCGTGCGAAGGGGCAGGCTTTCAGAGCTGGGCATATCATGTCTATTACTGTTACTCTCAAAAGCTTTCTGCATGTGCTTCTTTTACCTGTAAAGCCTTCAAAACAATGAACAGTTTTGGAAAACAAATTGAAGCAAAGCAATGAGGGAAGAAACACCAGTCTTGTAGATTATGACATGTCAGTGATGATGATGTGAAAGCCCTTAATTACTGAATTCATAGAGCCCCTGGAGGGTGGAAACAGGCCATTTGGCCCAACAAGTCCACAGTGACCCTCTGAAGGACGTCATGCAAGGACCCATACACCCACCCACTATTTCACATAGCTAATGCATCGAGCTTACACATCCTTAGCCATTATGGGGCAATTTAGCATAGCCAAACCACCTAATTTGCACATCTTTGGAGTGTGGGAGAAAACTGGAGCACCTGGAAGAAACCCAGGCGAGATATGAGGAGAATGTGCAAACTCCACACAGGCAGTCACCTGAGGGTGGAATTGAACCCAGGTCCCTGGTGCTGTGAGGCAGCAGTGCTAACCACTGTGCCACTCCATTATGGCTAATTCATTCAGCATCAAAATCCTAGAACCCCCTCCCTAACAGCACTGAGAGGATTCTACTCTCCAAGGGCTGCAGAGGTTCCAGGAGACAGCTCACTACCACCTTCTGTGGTAAAGGCAAACTGGTCCAGCAGCAAAAGATGGTGTCTGAGGATCAGCAACTTTGCTGTTAGTTGGGTCTGGTGAGGCAGTGTTGGATCTGGACCAGCTTAGATCTTGAACATATATGGAATTCTATTTAAACTATATCTTTCCATTTTCTCTTATTCTTAAACTATCGAAATGGTGCTGGATTATGGCGACAAATGGAAGCTTTTTAAGGTATTTTATTGTATTTCATGGTAAAATACACTTGACAATAAATCATTTATTCATTCATTTCAGGGCAACTAGAGATGGGCATTAGAGCCAGTGATGCCCTTATTTCAAGAATAAACAAAAATGATAGAGTCATACAATCATACAACATGGAAACAGACCCTTTGGACCAATTAGTGGGTGGCATGGTAGCTCAGTGGTTAGCACTGCTGCCTCACAGTACCAGGGACCTAGGTTTGATTCCAGCCTTGGGTGACTGTCTGTGTGGAGTTTGCATGTACTCCCCATGTCTATGTGGGTTTCCCTCCCACAGTCCAAAGATGTCCAGGTTAGGTGAATTGGCCATGATAAATTGCCCAGGGATGGGTGGATTAGCCATAGGAAATGCAAGGTTTTAGGTAGGGGTGTGCGTCTGGGTGGGATGCTCTTCGGAGGGCTGGTGTGGACTCAGTAGGCCGAATGACCTGCTTCTACACTGTAGGCATTTTATTCTATGATTCTAGTCCTCAACAACTATTTTCCCAGACTAAACTAGTCCTGCATTTGGCCCATATCCCTCCAAACCTTTCCTTTTCATGTACCCACATCCATCATTTCCTCTGGCAGTTCATTCTACACACGAGCCACTCTCTGCGTTATAAAGTTGCCCCTCATGTCCTTTTTAAATCTTTCTCCTCTCACCTTAAAAATATGCCCACTTTAGAGAAAATACCAGAGCTCCTGAAGACAGATCCTGCACCATGTCTTGTTACCTCTTCTGTCACTTACCTGTGCATTTTTATACACAGATAATTTCAGATAATTTCACTCTGCTTGTTGTTGGGTGTGGAGTAAATATCGAAAACAAAGCTGTAACACTGGGGGTGGAGTTCCTCTTGAACTACTGAGGGATCAAAACCAACTTTCAAGACCTCCATCGCCTTGGGCTGACGTTATAAATATCCCTGTTGGTTGCTAGGAAGGAATTGGAAGAGAGCGGTGGATGTATCTTCACAGCTGAAGGACAACAGCTTCTGCACATGGCCTTGGTACTCGTCTCTCGTGTAAAGCCCCTTGCCGATATCTGCCTGATGTTTGCACCTATTTGTGGGAAGGCAGTGTTTATAGAATGCAAAACTGTGTGATTTTATCTTCCATCTCGGCTCCTCCTGTGTCACAAACAACAAACGAAGCACGCCCATGATGTTGCTGAACTTATGATCTCTTTGGGAATTTTAAATCCCTCTGAGTGGGCTCTGGGTCCATTCCAGGCAAGACCACTTCTGTATGCGAATGCTGAAAATCGAACAGTACAGCTGCAAAAAACACACTTAGCTCCAGAAGTCTCACTTTCAAGCTTCTATCAGGCGCAGGTTACAAGCAGCAAACATAGCCTCCGATGAGACAGTAGCTCCTTCATTTGGATCTTTCGTGCTTGGTGACCCAGGAGCATGTCTGCTGGAATGTCGGTGAAGTTATGTCATGCCCCCGCCTCGTTCTAAACTGACTGGCTGCAGAGTCAGTCACAAGAGCTGGTGGAGGTGGTGACGTAGTGGTACTGTCAAGTGATGAGTTGAGCTAGAGGCCATGTTGATATCCTGGGGATATGGTTCAAATCCCACCATGGCTGATGGCCAAATTCAATAAAAGTCTGGAATATTTAAGAAATAAACAAACCTAATGACTAATTGTTGTTTAAAAGTTCCATCTGGGTTCACTAACACCCTTTAGGGAAGGAAATCTGCTGGCTTACATGTGACTCCAGAACCACATCAATGTGGTTGACTCTCAAGTTTCCCCAGGGCAATTAGGGATGGGCAATAAATGCTGGCTGAGTCAGCAACAACCATATTCCGTGAATGAATTAAAAAAAAGAAGCACTGGAAACTTGTTTCTTTGGCTTTTTCCCTAGCCCTCAGTGGCAAGGGCACTGTGGAAATGATGAGTAAATTTAGGGATCCTGAAGTGGATTTTCAGAACAAAATGATCCTTTCATGAGATGTGGGCATTAATGGAAAGGCCAGCATTTGTCATCCCTAATTGCCCTTGAACTCAGTGACTCACTCGGCCATTTCAGAGGGCAGTTAAGAGTCAACCACATAGCTGTGGGTCTGGAGTCACATGTAACCCAGATTGGATAAGGATAACAGATTTTCATCACATTCATGAATCAGATGCATTTTTAGAATGATTGGTAATCACTTCTTGGCTGCTGTTACTGAGATGAGTTTAGGTTTTAGGATTGAATTTAAATTCCAACCAGTGCCCAGGTAGAAGATTTGAACCCATATCACCAGAACAGGTCCCCAGACAAGGGTGGGGACCTATCTGAGCCCAATAACTGGGGCTTTAAGAGGTTTCAGTGCTTGGGCAGTGCCACCATGGTTAGGTTGGGAGTCCAGATCTGGATCAACATTAGTACCCATGATTTCAGTCACTGGCCCTCTACCAGAGCGATAATCTAGGCCTTGGGATAACTAGCCCAATGACATTACCATAGTGTTACCATCTCTCCTAATCCTGGACTTGGGGTCTGGAGGAGAGAATGCTGCAAGATTGCAAGGATGAAGGAAGGGAGAGGGATGGTGGTGGGGTAGCATCAAGAAAGGAGAGAGAGATTTGTGTTGGTTCTTTTGATCTGATGTTCCACACAACCCTGAATGGTCAGGCCATTATGCAAGGTTTGAACTGGTTGTCGTGCCTACTCATCTGGGTGTTATGCTAGAACAGTGAGGAAAGATCATTTTTTGTATTTTTCTAATCAGCCTGTTCAGGGACATTATTACACACCCCTGGAGCAGATGGGACTTGAACCAGGGCCCCTTGGTCCAGGAGTGAGAATACTACCACTGTACCACAAGAGAGCCATCAATTATCATTTTTTCAGCCCTGGTGGCTAATAGTCATCAGTTGGATACCGCGGTTACTGTCCAAAGATCCTTCTGAGTATCAACAGGGAGACAATACCTACCTGCTCTGCATTCCTACTGAATGGATGCTTACAAGAAATAAGTGCTTGGTTGAAATGCAAAAGGCACAATCTAACATCTTAAGTTGCGTGATGACCCTACCTCTGAACCAGGAGGCCCAATTTCAAGTCCCACCTGCTCCAGAGGTGTGTAATTCTGTCTCTGACCAGGTCGAGGAAGAATATCTCAGAGTTGCTGCTCCACCTTGAGCTTGTGCAGAGGGAGACGGGAGAGCTGCCTGCATCATGTGGGGTGCATTGCTCCGGAGTTAATATGCATGTAATTGCTTCAGATACAAACTCACTATCCCCCACCTTCCTGGGAAACCTCCAGAGGTCCCGAGGCAATGTAAAACAGGTTGAAAATGAAGGCTGTGAGTCTCTTGGCTTTGTGCATTGCTGCTTTCTGTTCACATCCAGGGAATGAGCACTCCCTGGGTAGGAAAGAGTGGAAAAGCACCCTAATAATATTGAAATCAGACTGTGCCATATTGATAGGATTCTCATTTAAAATGCGTCAGTGATATTAGTAAGAAAGGCAAAGGGATTCAGTAAAATGTATTATCATTACACAGTATGACTCAGAGATCAGTCTAAGTCCACTTTGGTAGAAGGAACAGAGGTGCAGGATATTTCTTAAATGGCGATCGGTTGGGAAGTGTGATGTCCAAAGAGACCTGGATACCATCTCCCATTAGTCATGAAAGTTAATGCACAATTGTGCAAGCCATTAGGAAGGCAAGTGGTATGTTGGCCTTTCTCACAAGAGGATTTGACAAAAGAAGTAAAGAAGTTCTGCTTCAACTGTATGGAACCTTGGTGAGAGCACACTTTGGAGCATTGTGTTGGGGTGGGACTCCCCTATGAAGAGCGATTGAGGAAACTTGGCCTGTATTCTCTGGAGTCTAAAAGAATGAAAGGTGATCTCATAGAAAATTACAACATTTCTTAAAGAACTTGATAGGGGAGATGCAGAAAAATGGTTCCTCTGGTTGTAGTATCTCAAACCAGGGAACACAATCCCTTAATAAGTGGTAAGCAGTTTAGGACTTTGTTCAGGAGGAACCTGTTCACTCAGAGTGTGGTGAATTTTTGGAATTCCCTACCCCAAAGAGCTGTGGAAGCTCAATCATTGAGTATAATCAAGATAGCGTTTAAAAGATTTCTAGATATAATGATATGGAGACATAGGGGAGAGGCCGGGAATATGGGCATTGAGTGAAATGATCAGCTGAAATCTAGAATGACAGAACATGGTCGAAGGGCCAAAAGGCCTGCTCCAGTTCCTTGAGACTTTCAGCCTCACACATCCCAATGATGGGGAGCTTAGGAAGGGACTTGAAGTTGAGTTTCAATAGGCTTGTTGGAAAGTGAGCTGATCCCGTTTGGTTAGAGAGAACCTGGTGTTGTCAGAGTAGTGAAGAAAGCATTTATTTACGCTTGCCTTTATTGGCCAGTGCATTGAGTATAGGAGTTGAAAGGTCATGTTGTGGCTGTACAGGACATTGGTTAGGCCACTTTTCAAGTACGTAGAATCCCCAAAATGTGGGGACAGGCCATTCAGCCCACCGAGACCCCTCCCCTTATCCAATCCCTGCATTTCTTATGGCTAAGCTACCTCATCTGCACATCCCTGGGCACTATAGCACAGCCAATCCACCTAATCTGCACATCTTTGGACTGTGGGAGGAAACCCACACAGATACAGGGAGAATGTGCAAACTCCACACAAACAGTTGCCCAAAGGTGAACTTGAACTCAGGTCCCTGGTCCTGTGAGGTAGCAGTGCTAACCACTATGCCACCTGTGTGCAGTTCTGGTCTTACTGCTTTGGGAAGGGTGTTGTGAAACTTGCAAAGGTTCAGAAAAGATTTACAAGGATGATCCCAGGGCTGGAGGGTTTGAGCTATAGGAAGAGGATGAATAGGCTGGGGCTATTTTCCCTGGCGTGTTGAAGGCTGAGGGGTGACCTTACAGAGGTTTATAAAATCATGAGGGGCATGGATAGGGTGAATATCCAAGGTTTTTTTTCCCAGGTAAGGGGAGCCCAAAACTATAGGTTTAAGGTGAGAGGCGAAAGATTTAGAGCAACTTTTTCACACAGAGGGTGATTAGTGTATGGAATGATCTGCCAGAGGAGGTGGTGGAGGCTGGTACAATTACAACATTTAAAAGGCATCCGGATGGGTACATGAATAGGAAGGGTTTAGAGGGATATGGGCCAAATGCTGGCAAATGGGACTAGATTCATTTAGGATATCTGGTCAGCATGGACAAGTTGGACAGAAGGGTCTGTTTCCATGCCGTACAGCCCTGTGACTCTAAGCTGTCAATTGTAGAGAATACCTCACTGAGCACAAGTGACCAGAAAGCTGCTGGATCTGATTTTAGTAAGGCTCCAAAAGTATACTTTATTATCTCTGCAGACATTACCAGATCTGCTGAGTTTCTCCAGCACTTTCTGTTTTTGTTTTGGTATGTGAGTCATAGTTACAGTTTAAACAGGAAGAGTTCTGCTGCTGAGCAGTGGATTTATGAAAGTAACAGCCTGGTTGTGAAGTGTGAAGCTAAATGATGCAGTAACAATAAAAAGCTGAAGTGGAGGAAGTTAGCTTTACGGGAATTGGTGTAACCAGCTGAATGTTGTGTTTGGGTATATCATATTTAACTGCAGTCTTAGGGTTTGAAATCAGTTGTAATTTTATCCATAACTAATACCACTCCTCACATTTTCTCTGTTGACCATTCTCAGACAGAATTTCTCCCTGATTGCTCAATAATGTGCACGAAGTGAAACAGAAAGCAGTAGATTCTCGGAACTTAAGCAGAGAGTGTGACTCTCGCCTGAACAAACCAAAGTTCACACGGCACATCTGGGATTTTCGGTCTAGCTTTGATAAATGAGCATTTCTTTATTTGTGAATCCTAGCAGATTTCTCAGGTGCAGAGATGAGCTGATACAATAAAGGCAATTAATGCACCAGAAATCTCGGCATTTTTAAAAAGGATAGCAGCTGGAGCCATGTGTTGAAGAAAATAAACCTTTCGGCAGACTGTTGTAAGGTCATGCCAGCTCACTGTGTTGTGTGAAGTGCTGCTTCTGGGAAGGTAGCTGACCCCACCATCTTTAAGGGTAGAAAACAGCAGGGGCTGCTTGGTCTACTGTGGCAGAGGAATGCCACTGCCTGGTCTAACTAGAAGAGTCTCCCATAGTTAACCAGATCCATTCTTTTGCATGTTGACAGCTAGTTACTCGATACCTTGACATGATAGACATTGCTACAGTGATTTTAAGGACCAGATGTTGGGTGGAGACAAATTACTGAAGATGCTGGAATCTGTACTGAAGACAACAAATGCTGGAGCTCGCAGTGGGTCACGCAGCATCCATGGAGAGAGAGCAAGCTAATGTTTCCAGTCTAGAGGACTCTTCATCAGAGACTTACTCCTTTGAGGTCCTAAGCTATTCCTCCTTAAAGCCTTTATGTCATACCTCAGTGGGAGGTGCTTCTGGCACTCTGCAAAATTAACCCTTTCAGACCCATACCTACCACAGTCCAAGAAAGATCCACTGGGGGAAACAAAACAAAAACGAGAGTTTGGGCTCGATCTTGCTGCTTTCTTCTGGTGTAGTTTATTCAATACCTGTGTAAGTGACACAAAAGATTGTAGGACTTCAAGCCCCTTTTACACTGTCCTGCTCCAGCC